TTTTTTTTTTTTTTTTCGCTGTAGTCTCAACTTTAATAATAATCTTCAGACAAAGATGAACACCTTAAATTGCTTTTTCGTAGTGCGGCTCATCTTAGAACTACACGGTCGGAAATGCGATTACGACAGATAGGTCAGATATCCTCAAAATTGACTGTAGCGAGAATCATCGAGTAAGGGGCCCTGATTTTATTTTATAATGGGTTTATGGATACCAGAGCTAGAAGAGTTTTTGGTTTTTTAGATCAGGCTTTTGCCCTTTCTGATTGTAAAATATTACTGCGATTGTTTCTTCTATAACATAGAGAGGCATATTCCTAGTTTTGGAATCAGAGACGATACTGAAAATATTCAGTACTGTTTGATGATCTCTTCAGAACTTCTTGAGTTTGTGATAAATTCAGGGAATCAAACAACAGCAGAGCTCTGCTTTCCGACTCAAGTCGATATCTTGCGCAGCTTGGAAGGCCATTGACTCGCAGTGTCAGGGAAATGAGGTTTTTGCTGACTTTCAATCGTAATTAATAGCTAACTGTCTTGAAAAAGAGCTGAAAGATCTTTTTGAACTAAATTTTTTACAAAGTTGGTAAGGCGGGCAGAGATTATTCATTTTTAATCTTAGATTCTCATTTAGTCGACTCCGAAATCGCAACTTAAATTCAACGCATAAATTAAAGTCTGTATATGAACACCTGAAAGAGAATGGTGACATACGACCAGCAGATTCGGCTCCTAAAAAGGACCTGAAACAGGGTGAAATTGATATCAAGGCGTTTCAGCAAAAACGTCAGCATGCAGAAATAACGAGGTAACCTTCAGCAGCTATTGAAGTTTGACATGATCACGTATTTGTAATTATTATCACGCAAAACTGCAAACTGTTGAAGATTAGTTACTAACCACTCGCTTTAAATTAGAAACCGCATTGAGGAGGATATGAGAGAGAATCATCCTTTCTTTGATCGGCCATTGCTCATTATTGGACGTGATTCGAAAATTAGAAGACTGTGTCAAGAAATTGTTTATGCAAAGTATTCTCCAGAAAAAATTGATGCTGTGACGGGAAAGCAGATTCAGCGGAATTATAAGCAACTGCAGTATGCTTTAAAAGAACTGAACTTGTTGGAGCTCTAATTACTAAATTGAACTTTGAAGAATAATATGAAAGCAAATTCTAGCGCTTTGGTTGGTTTACTAACATATTTGGACTGGGCGATGGTTCTTGTCACGTGTTTCTCTTGTTTCTCAATGCTTTTTGAGGGACCTTGGCCAGCCACTGGAGAGAACTTGATATTCAATAATTATTACCTGCAGGTATCGTTGCTCTTTCTAAATTTGAGAAATTTTAAAATTGTGTTTTGTTGAGATAGTGATTTTTAGATATGTGAATACCTTTTCGTCGTCTCGATGACATTTGAGCTGATTGTTAAAATCGTAGCAGAAGGTTTTATTTTCACTCCCAATGCAGTTGTTAAAGATGTTGGTGGAGCTATGACAATGTTTATTTACGTGGTACTTCATTCTCCAATAATTCCTTTTTGCAAACACATTAGACCACCAGTGTTCTATATTTTGCTTTTTATGCCTCATCTCTTTAGACAAGTTTAATTTATCTGGTATGGATGCCGAATCATGTCGAAATAAATTCCCTGGCCCAGCTAATGATGATTTTTCGCGCTATGCGTCCACTTAGAATATACACTTTGGTCCCGCACATTCGCAGGGTTGTTGTGGAACTTTGCAAAGGTTTTAAAGAGATTTTGCTGGTCAGTTTCTAGGAGACTATTGAAAGTATATTATTGCCTTTCTGGAGCAAGAAGAAGCTTAAGATAACTCAATATTTTTGGAAGATTGAATAATTAATTATACAGTGTAACATTTGCAGTAAGATATGTTCTGGATTATTTTTAATTGTTTTATAAGCACAACCTTGGAAGTCGAGTATTATAGAACTAATGGTGCTTGGCAAATATAATCACGAGTTTACCTTTAATGTACTTTAAACTTTTTCCTTTGTTGGTACTAACTAAATTTGTTAAGTTCTAGTTAAACTAAGGTTAAATTTATCAGTTGGTCGAAGATTTGAGACTTCTCCACTTGATAGTTTAATTTTTACCATATCTTTATTTGGAAATTAGTAATTTATGACAAAGATTAGATTAGGTCTTATTTACCTGCATCCTAAAAATTTTTCCAGTACCGTTTCTGCAAATTTGAAAAGTAATGTTTTAAAATTTTTGGTAAATTTTGCTAGCGCAGTTTAAAGCTGTCCTTAGTACTTGGAGGTTGTCATAGCATTTTAGAACTTTTTTCTTGGGATGTTGAAGAAAATTGACTTTTGAACTGATTTTAAAGCTTGACTTTGAGTTTGATTTTTAGGTTTGTGAGTATATGGCTTTTGGTTGTGTCAAGTGATTTTATTAACAATAAAGACTCATAGTTTTTGTCATTTCCAGGTGACAATACTGCTGGTAGTTTTGATGTTTATTTTTGCAAGTTTTGCGGTACAAATTGTCGGAGGAAAGTTGGCAGCTTGTAATGATCCTTCAGTGGCTTCACGCGTATGTTTGTGTTAGATTGGATCAGTTGTTCTACAGCTATTATATTTCACTTATTTTAATCAGCCTTCATATTTTAGGAGAACTGTACGGGGATATTTGAGCAAAAGATATTTGTTACTCGTATGGAAGTGTTTGGAAAAAATGACGACGTAATGCATCCGAAAGTTTGGGTGCCAAGAGTTTGGTATGTTCTGTGTGAGAATTTTTATTCATTGCTGTATTAAGAGCTCATAATTTTTAATGACAACTTATTAGAGGCTGTAAATCGAGAACTAGATGAAAGATCTGTTTTGCCGCTTTAATAAATATTTTTAAGAAGATAAAGAAAGTGACCGTCAAAAAACTGAGAAAAGTATCGCAAAACGATGATTGATCGTATTCAAGTTTGTGAACCTTCTAAATCTCTGACCAATGCAGTCAATTAAGTGTATTGTTCAAAATAACTTTAGAAACACCGCAATAAAAGGTTTTATTGCACAATAGAGACTCCCTTAAGGTGGTTACCTCTTCTGAGGCAGGATTTTTATTTTGCTTAATTTGGTTGTCTCAAGTAAAGTATGGGTAGTGTTTTTACAGGATGGTTCTCTTAACTGATTAAGTTTACTACCGGTTAATCGTTTCATTTTTGTTCCAAATAGGAGCAAGAATGTGATTACGAATTTGAGATACCAGCTAACTGAGCGAGGAGAAAACGCAAAAAGTAAAAAAGTAATTTTTTTTTGGTGAGAAAAGTATTTTTCCGATGTAAGTTTTTATGTGAAAAGCTGCTTCAGAATAAAAATGAGTTTTACCTAAAGATGCTCTGTTTTTTTTTTCACTGTTTTCCGGTTAAAAGTTGTTGATTTTCTTTATTTTTAAAACAAAACTTTATCCTTATTTACAGACGCAGGAGCAACGGCAAAAATAGTACTTTGAAGACACTAGATGAAAATTCATCATAAAAGTCTGGAGGGAAAAGAAACTTGTTATAGGACTTTAAGAAAATAGAAGACGTATGGAAATAGTGTATCAAATTGTAAAAAACAGCAAGAAAATAAATCAATTTGCATTATGGAAAATAATAAGAGACGGCTTTAAACAACGGTCTTTTTCAAAAAATAACGGTCGGTAAGATAGTTTTTTCCTGCTGAAATTTGATTTGGTTGAGATTTACTGTTTTTGCGATTACTATTTCTAAACATCTAGATTGCCAATAATTTAAAATTGTCAGACTTATTTAGTAAGAAAAAAGAAACCACTTAATCTACTGCGACTGAAACCTGGGTTTAAGCCCGCTATTCCTTCTATTTCGCAAGATTTTTTTCTGGCGATTATTTTTTTAGCTAAATAACAGTATCTAAGGAGCTACATCAATAAGTATTAATTTTCGTCTTATATATTTTACTGTTGTTCTTACTGTCAAACTTTGTTGATAATCTAGTGATTAATGAATTTCAAGAAGAACCTATAATGAAAATAATTTTATGCTCAATATCAGTAACAGTCGTTCTAAAAAATTCTTTTGAACTGCAGAAAAAAACAGCTTTCTCAAAAAACTTTTTAACACAAAATTTTTAGTTTCATTTTCCTAGTGAGGTTTGAAGCTCTTAAATTTCTGGTTTGCTTCACAACCAGACTAGTTTATTTGAAGTACAGAAGCTTGACAAAAAACGCGATTTTGCAATTTCTTTCCCCAATCAGCTTCTTCTGTTTTCTGTTAAGGAACGCTTTATTTTTCACTAGAATCGTTAACGAAATTACTTCTCAAAACTAGTTTTTTTGAATTTTACGGCTCTTAAAACTTTTAGTATGAATTTTACTTTATACTTCTTGTTCGGCGCTTTCTTTGGTCATGGCAAAAATGAAAAAATTTTGCAGTCCTCTTTATGCATATCAACTGATACAATGTGATCAGGAACAAAAAATGGATAAAAATTTTGGAGGCTCTATTCTGTATTCGTGCTTTATTTTGTAAATTTAGCTTTAAGTTTTAGTTATGTGTACCCACCTGCTTCAGGGATTGCGAGACGAAATTGAATATTAGAAGATATGATATTTGTTTATTTTGGACATTTTCATCGCTCAAAACAGGCTTTTTTAGTTTTGTTAACAAAACTTAAAGCTACAGTCTGTAAGAAAAGAGTGCTTGTATAGCACTACAAAAGTAGCTAAAGCATACTAGAAATATGTGTTTTCTTGCCTTACTTTTCTTTTTGCTCATGATTTTTGGCGGAGTACAGCTAACTAAACATTTTAAGCGGAATTAACGACTTCTCAAAAGAACCGATGATCTTTCAGTACCAGGGTCTTGCAGGAAAGCGATTTCTGGAAATTAGGCACGTTGAGCAGGAACCTGATATATTAATTCTGACCATGCATTACTTGGCAGTGAATACATTTTTCTATAACATCTTTTTGAATTCTGTTGTACTGACCTGTGAAATTCAAAAATTTGTGAAGTAAAGGTGTAGGACTGACTTAAAAGTACTGTTATAAAATTTATAAATCATTTTAGACTTGATGGCTACTAAAATTTTTTTATTACTTTACAATTTTTAAACTGTTAGTTTGATTTTACTGTGCGAAATTTACATTTAAAAGCTTTCTTCGACTTTTAATGGCTCAATTGAGTTCTAAGAATTCCAGTTTTGATTAATCTCATCTCATCTTATCATTTTGCAGAAAGGCAGCGTGTAGCAGAATGTTTTAAGCATTTGCATAGAGTGGAGTTTTTTGAGTAAATTCAGATGTGTTAATCTTGCGTATACGTTCCAGTCTAGTATTTTGGTGCGCAAAACATGAATTAGGCCGTTCTCTCATGTTGGCTTTTTAACCTTCGTGTATTTTACGAGTTTCCAATATTGGAATTAAATTGTATTAAAGTAGCTTAAATTATGACAGTAGTTTCCTTATTACATCTTTAAATGAAAAATTTTCAAATAAAATCAGTAGAGCCAAACATTTCAAAATTTCACGTCTCATTTTGCTTATCGCCTTTACGAACAGAAAAGTCACTAAACGTAGCGGAAGGCAAATTCTGAAAAAAAAAGAGGTCTTCACAAAAAAAAAAAATTTTGGAAGTTTTATATTGATATTTTTGAGTAAGGTAATTCAAATTAGGATTTAAAAAAATTTTTTTAGTAATTTTCTCTGCCATTTCAAAAAAGCACTAAAGAGTTTGTTTTTGCCGAAACACGGCATGTATGCGTGCAGCTATTTTTTCCTTGATAAGCTGTTAATTTAGGGAAAATCCACGAAATTTTAATTTTGACCACATTGGAAATGCGATGTTGGCGCTCTTTGAAACTTTGTCATACAAAGGCTGGAATGTGATTCGCGATATTTTATGGATGCGACACGGACCGGTACGTTAGCTTGGTAGCTTTTTTCGAGGGCTTAATTGCTTGGCCTTGAGTGTAACATTTAAATTTTTCAGTGGGCTGTGCTCTTTATTCATATTTACGTGTTTATGGGGTGTATGATTGGCTTGACATTGTTTGTTGGCGTTGTCATCGCAAACTATACGGAAAACCGGGTAGTTTTATTTGAATTTACTTGTAGCTTTTGAAAAAAATGAACATTTAAAAATTTTAATTTCTGGCCTTTTGGGTTTAAATGACTAGCAGAAGTTTACCTCAGGCGTGTGAACATGGCGTAAGAGTAATAAGTTTCTCTTTCTAACTCAGTAGGCTATAGATTTTTACCCGTTTAAAACACAGTGAGAGTATTCTCTTACTGAACTTGGCCTGTTCTAGAAATATCTGTCTTAATAAGCTCTTTGCTTAGCGTCTTTGGAGCTGCCCAAAAAACTGCATCTTCTTCTTCAGGTTTCTTTCGATCAAATTTGATATTGATAGCCCAAGAAGAAATAAAAATTATTTTCTTCTGAGCTAAATTTAGGGATGTTTTTTATCTAATTTTTTTGAAAAATGTTTTGGAAGCAACTAATTTCGAAAAAGTGCCTTTTTTATTAAGCTTCAAAAGAGTTTGTGTATGGCAAAGTGTGCTGCTATCTTTGGTCGTGCACAAGCTCGTTTACCGGAAAAGCAAGAGCATGATTTCTTTACATCTTTCAGCATATAATCCACCAAATTCGAAAACTTCTCACAAATTTCAGACAGGTCCAAGGCTTTAGCTTTTAAAGATATTCCGTTTGACGTGGAGCGACAACTATAAATTTCTAAACCCATAATGATAAAAATCTGGTAGAAATAGAAATACTGTTGAATCTTTTCAAGCTGTTTGTTTGGTAATTGGATTTGTATTGTGCACCTCCAAGCTTTATTGCAGGGTACTGCTTTGCTCACTGTGGATCAGCGTCGATGGCACGACCTAAAAGCTCGTTTGAAAATGGCACAACCTCTTCATGTACCACCAAAACCAGCTGAGTCTTCAAAACTTCGCCGCGCTCTTTATGAGATTGCATTAAGCAAATGGTTTAAGCAGGTGATTGTATAACAACAATTTTTTATTTGCTCTATTCTTAAGCTGTTGTACAGTAACCATGCTGTTAAGGCTTTCGCAACACTTGCTGTTGTTAATTCAGCTACGCTTGCTTTCCCTTGGAATGTTGATGAAGAAAGGAATAGCTTTAAAACTTTACTGTTTCTTACTGGGCTTTCTGCAATTGCAAATATTCTTTTTACAGTTGAGGTAGTTTTATTCTGCTTTTCAATGTCACTTTACAAAAAGAACCACTGAAAGTTTTGAAAAGAGTTTTCACATATTTTTATTCTTGACTTTCATTGTTGCATGACTTTGTTTGGTCGTAAGTTTAAAAAGGAGGTCCCTCAATTATTAATTAATTTTTCGTTACAAATATATTCTAGGTTTTGTTGAAAATGATTGCATTTACTTTTCGTGGGTTTTGGCAGTCTAGAAGGAACCGTATTGACCTTCTGATCACTGTTTTTGGCCTTTTTTGGATATTTATTCATTTCATCG